TAACAGTTTTCTATATTCATATATGATATACATGTATGTTTTTTCATATTTTATATGTGATATAATATATCATATATAGTTAAAAGACTCGATAAAACTTAAAAATTAATCCACTAATTATTATAAAAATAAAGTTATATTTTATAACTCAACTCAATTTTTTTCCAGATTGAATCTAGCTTATAAAATTATGAGTTGAATTGAAAAATTTAAATTTTGAGTCGAATCAAATTTTGTTTACCCCTACTTATAATATCAAATATCATTTTGATAATGTCTAAAATTGAGGTTAAAACTATTTTTGGGAATGTAAATTGTACACTTAGATAGAATTTGGGGAAACAACACTAATTAAAAGTTAATATTTTTAAATATGTTTAAATAAAGATTAATGGTTTTTAAAATTGATGTTAAAAACCAATGTTTTAACCTTCCAAAAAATTCAAATAAAATATTAATATTTTTAAGTTTATTTAAATAAAGATCTGTTTTTTTTCAAAATATTAAAAATAATAGCATTTGAATATATTATAAAATATTAAATCTTTATTAAAAAGACTCGAAAGTGTTGAGTCATTATTTTTTTGTTTGAAAAATCAGATCATTATTTAAATAAATTAAAAAACTAATATACTTTTTTTTATCACTATCGGTATCTGATATATTGACCAACTAATATAAAATATAAATACCTTAAGATATAAATATTTAAATTTTAAATTTAATATAAATATAAACTACCTTGAATATAATTATAATATAGCAAAAAATATCAATATGAATACATCTAATTTTGGACTATTATTATATGAATATCCAGCTCAATAATACCTCGGCAAAATTAAGAACACAAAACGGACTTGACTTCAAATGCAAGAAGCCAAAAGTTCAATATAATAATTGACATTACCTGTTGATAACTGTCTATAATATAATAATAAAATTAATTCTTTATTTTATAAATGAAATAAAAATTATCACATGTCATTTCTTAAAAAAATATACCATATTTTTACTTTTCATATTATATTTAGACATTTTTATCAAATTTAAATCGATTTATATAATTGTTGGTGAGATTGTGCATTTAAATATGTTTAATATATTCTATTCCGACTTATAAGTGAAAAAGAATTTAAATAATTGGGTTGGGAGGGTTACCTTGCCTCTGTAGTACTAGATTTAGATTAGTTGATCAATAAATCAAAATTTGTAGTTATACCAAAAATAATATATTTTAATTATATTTAAATTAAATTTTTTTGTATCTTACAATAATTATAATGGGAAAAATTCTTTAGATAATGTGGTTGGAAAAATATATGTGGTGCTGAAATAATTATTCCAATTATTGTTATTTTTAGATAAAACAACGTACACATATTTACAGACGCAGCTGCTCGAACCCATAACTTGTAAGAAAAATCTTTTATCACTAAGGTCACTTGATGAGTTCAAAATTATTTTTTCATTCAACGAGAATGAAATAAATAATATAGGGGGAAAACGGTCGAACCAATTGACGTGTTTGAGAAGAAGTCTTGAAGAGCTCTGTTTTGAAAACCGGATCGGCCGGTTCAACCGGTTCAACCGGGAACCGTTGCTTAGTCCGGTTCAACCTAAACCGGTTGAACCGCTATTAGTGAACCGTCCAGAACCGCTGAACCGTTCGAACTGGTCCGGCTGAAAATCGGAAAAAATCGGGAAAAACTGGGATTTTTGTTTTTAAAAAAAAAAAATAAAACCAAACAACGTCGTTTGTTAAAAGAGCCAAGTCGAACTCGAATATTGCTGAGCTCGACTCGAACTTGAAAACTTTAAAAGTAAGCTCAACTCAACTCAAACTCACAAGCTAAAAATTATCAAGTTCAACTCAAACTCGAAATATAATATTGAAACTTGAACTCAAAAAGGCTTGAACTCAAAAAAAAATTAGAAGTTCGATTGAATCCTAAAATTCGAGCTTGATTGAAGTGAAAAAAATAATTATATAATTATAGTTATATAATTTTGTTATGATTTTTTTAACCTCAAATTTATTTTTTAATTATAGTTATATAATTATATTTATTATTTAATATGTTTTAATTTAAATATTATGTTTTAGTTAATTTGAATCATTTTGTTTCACTTGATTTTATAGTTTTTAACTTATATATATGTTATGACTTGCTTTGAATATGACTTGTGATATAAAAAATTATTTTTTATTAAATATTTTTTGTATTTTTATTTAATTTTTTAAATAATTATGATGTCGTTCGATTCTTCCGACCGGTCAAACCGATTCAACCGATTGAACCAGTGAACCGATAGCATGATCAGTTCGCTAACCGATCCAATTCTAAAAACCATGTTGAAGAGACAACGTCTTTTAGGTTGCTACACTATTAAGGTTGATGTTTAGACTACATGCACCCCGAAGAAGATGACGTGTCTTCAAAGAATCTTCTCAAGAATCTTCTCGTAATTTAATATTTTCAAATTAATATTATATTTAAAAATATCATTTTGCATGGATCGACATAACTATTTAGGACCCCAAAATGTGATGGTTGAAGTAATCATGTTACAAGCTTTCTAAAGTGGCTTTTTTCGGGCAACAAAAGCTGGCATTATCAAAGGCGGTTCTGTCGTCCACTAAATTACTACCACACTGTTGCTTTTATGTTTCCCACCTCCTGCCGTTCCCAAGAAAAGGTCAAACTGCTTCTATTCTTTTGAATTTACCTTTTAATTCAGTTGGTAGATCGCAAAACTCTTAATTTTATGATCGTGGGATCAAGTTCTACGGTGGTTAATTCATAATTCTGACTGTCGGAGGTCTTTCACGGAAGCTGCTCTCAATTTGGTGTTAGGGCAACCTACTATCCAACCTCCCCTCACCCTATTACATATGAGAATAGGATCAGCTAATTTACTGTATTCACTAATTTATATTAGGTAGTTTAGCGGTGAGTGTGACTCAACCCAGTTTATTTTATTTACAGATGTCAAAGTTCGAACTTCTTACATTGTTTAAAGAATTTAGTTTCTTATCAATTAGATCAACTAGTTATTGGTACAAATATGTTTCTATTAAATAAACTTTTAACATATTTTTAGGATAAATTACATATTTATTCTTCTAAGAATCACTTTAATTCTATTTTGGTCACTTAATTTCTTTTTCAAAATCATACGTTTTGGTTTCGTTTTTTCCTCTCACCGTTAAAAATAAACAAAATTGTTGACGTGATATTTTTTATTTTTTCGTTGGTATTGTGACATTATCTTATAATAACACGTAAATATTACCGTTAATCTTTTAATGACCGATGACTAAAACAGAATCAAAATATAATATTATATATGATTTTGGAAAAAAAATAATTGAATGATTAAAACGGAATCAAAGTGATAATTAAATGACTAAATACACAGTTTATCCCTTATCTATTAAGTAGAGAGGTGTTTACACTCCAAGGTAAATATTTGGGTTCAAACCCAAGTATTTTGATTTGTATTTACGACTTTTATATTATATGAAATAAAAATTTATATTTAATTAAGGATAAATTAAAACGTTTGCTGTTGTTTATACTAACTTAAAAATTAATGGCTTATCTGAGAACCAACTAAAACTTAAAGGTTTATTTGAGTTTAATAAAAGTATAAAAAATTCTTTATTTAAAGTGACAAAATTCAAGAGTTCATTTTCTATAATAGTATTAAATGAAACATATACTAGTAAATCTCAAATAGGACAGAATTAATATGTTAAATCTGAAGACTTAATTTAATATTTTAAAAAAGTTTTACTTAAAAACACCGAAAAAATAAATGTATTCAAATTTTGACAAATTTAATAGATAATCCTTACGCTAAAACTATTTTAGTACAGTTGGTGAATAAATTATTTAGAGATCTATGACATTTATTATAGTAAATTAAGAACTCATTAGGTGAGCACGACAAATTTCATAAAATATATTTTTTTTAACATAACTAATATCATAAACTCTAAAATAATTTCCCACTAATCGTATTTCTCTAATTCTATTTTTTACTCACAATATTATCCTAATTTTTCCTTCAAACCAACACAATGGAGGCTAGTGGGGCTATAGTCCTCCCAAAATTTGAAAAATTATAATTTAGATTTTTAAAATGTATAATTTGAGCCCTATAAAATTTTTAAAAATTCATAATAATTTTCATTTTTTTAATATTCTTAATTAAATCCTTCCCATTATTTTAAAAATTCTCATTAAGCTTCTCAAAATTTAAATTTTTTTAGCTAAACTCCAATTTTTTTTGAAAAATCTCTTCAAAATTTTTAAAAATTTTAATTTATACATTCATTATTTTCAACAAAAAAAAATTAAAAAATTTAAATTGACCTCCTAATTCTGTCATCAAATTCCGCTACGGCTTCAAACCTCATCGAAGGTCATGTTGAAATCATTCCGAAAATCCTTCCCATTATTTTAAAAATTCTCATTAAGCTTCTCAAAATTTAAATTTTTTTAGCTAAACTCCATTTTTTTGAAAAATCTCTTTCAAAATTTTTAAAAATTTTAATTTATACATTCATTATTTTCAACAAAAAAAATTAAAAAATTTAAATTGACCTCCTAATTCTGTCATCAAATTCCGCTACGGCTTCAAACCTCATCGAAGGTCATGTTGAAATCATTCCGAACTCGCTTGTACGCCTCTCCTTGGGCCACACGAATTAAGAAAACACCTGCCTTTCTGAACTGCGAGAGATGTGATTTAATATGAACATGAGGACTCCCCATTCAAATTTAATGCTTGGTTCTATTACACGAGAACTTCATCCATGGGTGATGTGATTTGATGCGGCATTCACAGTTTGATCATGAAGAATCAAGTGGCCTAGATTAGGGACAACGACCCTATAACTAAAAAGCGTTGAAAATGGGGTCTGACTCGGTCAATGATTTCACTCTCAACTCACTCATCGGCCACCTCCATTACAATACATGTAACCATTTCCTTACCTCACATGACCCTCAAACCAGACCTTCGAGACCGATAAACTCGTCAGCGGCATGTCGCCGTGACTTCGCCTCGAAAACTAGTTCATCTATTTTTCCCAACGCCCAATTCAGCAACCATGAATCTCTTCCATCTATGCATGAATCCTTTGCTGAATTCACCAAGGCTTACCCGCAGTACTCGGATACCGGTCGAGTTGACCAAATACGAGCTCAAGGGTATTACCATCTCTCCTTCTCCAACCATACCTGCCTTGATTATCTAGGTACTGGCCTCTTCTCCTATTCTCAGCTGCAAAAGCAAGAGTCCACGACATGTCGGATTGCATCATCTTCCTTCCCCGTGCCGCCGCAATCGCCTCCTCCGGTCTTGGATATTCCTTTCTTTGGGGTGACTTACAAGATGGGGAATCTCAAGACACTATTACTTCACGGGGGACCAACATCGGAGATGGAATCTGCTATCAGGACGAGGATCATGAGTTTTCTTAATGTTTCGGAAAACGAGTACTCCATGGTTTTCACAGCAAACAAGACATCGGCTTTCAAACTCGTGGCGGAATCGTATCCCTTCCGGTCTAATAGGAAGCTTTTATCGGTCTATGACTACGAGAGCGAAGCAATTGAAGCCATGGCAAATAGCTCGGAGAAGAAAGGGGCTAGAGTTATGTCTGCAGAATTCTCATGGCCCAGACTGAGGATCCAATCATCAAAGCTGAGAAACATGTTGGTGAGCAAGAAAAATAAGAAGCAAATGAAGAAAAGAAGCGGTCTTTTCGTTTTCCCACTTCATTCCAGGATGACTGGAGCCAGATATCCTTATCTCTGGATGACAATAGCAGAGGAAAATGGATGGCATGTGTTGATTGATGCTTGCGCATTGGGTCCAAAAGACATGGACAGCTTTGGCCTCTCACTCTTCCGTCCAGATTTCCTCATTTGCTCCTTCTACAAGGTTTTTGGAGAAAACCCTTCTGGATTCGCTTGCCTCTTCGTCAAGAATTCGACCATTTCGATATTAGAAACTTCAACAACCTCAGGAATTGTAGGTCTTATCCCTGCCGAGAAGCTATTCCAAGCAGTGACTGAATCTCCAGGCACCGATACCGAAGTCGAAAATTTATCTTCACAATCCGGAAGAGTTGAGAAAGGGAAAACGACATATGAGATTGATCATGCAGAAGTAGCAGAAAAACTGAAAGGGCTTGAAATGATTGAAGTTTCAGAATCAGACAAGGCTATTGAGATAATTGAAGAGGACAATGTTAAACTAAAAGGGGAGATCGAGTGTAGGGGCTTAGACCAGGTGGACTCATTAGGACTGGTAACAATCAGCAATAGAGCAAGGTGCCTCATCAACTGGCTTGTGAGTGCTCTGTTGAAACTCCAGCATCCCAACACCAAAGGGACTCCCCTGGTTAGAATATACGGCCCAAAGGTGAAATTCGATCGAGGACCCGCGATCGCGTTCAATGTATTCGATTGGAAGGGAGAAAAAATCGAACCGGTTCTCGTACAAAAACTAGCGGATCGGAGCAATATCTCCCTCAGCTATGGGCTCCTATACCATATATGGTTTGCAGATAAGTATCAAGAAGAGAAGGAAAAAGTGATGGAGAGGAGAAGTAATGAAACCAATACTGCCAATGGAAACAAGGGAAAAGACAAAAATGAAATGGGAATAGCTGTGGTTACTGCTGCATTGGGGTTCTTAGCCAATTTTCAAGACATATATAAGCTTTGGGCATTCATTGCTCAGTTTCTTGATGCAGATTTTGTGGAGAAGGAACGGTGGAGGTACACCAGTCTAAATCAGAAAACCATTGAAGTTCTCTAATTTCATTTCTTTCGGACAATCAAGTTGAGGAAACAATAGCCAAAGGTACATTGTATTCTTGTATGTACATTTCTTTAATGTAACACAAATTAATTAAAAGATAATTAGATACTATGAATTATAGTTAGATATTAGGTTATCCATGAGGATTTGACTTGTATTCTTTTTCTTTCTGCATTAGTGAATTTTCTTTTTTTCTATTAGTGGTTTTTTTCGGAAGTATTTTTCACATAAAACTTTGAAGTTTATTTTATTGTGTGATCACTATATTTATCATTATCTTCTCACAAATTGATATCAGAGCATTTAAAGTACTTGTCTTGATCACGGTAATAGTGACATTGAAGAATTAAATTTCGTTGTTGAATCACAATACCCGATTCATGAACAGACGGATGAAGGTATGAAAAATTGCAATAGCTCTCTTATTGTGGTAAAGAGTAGAGAAAGATTGTTAAATTTTGTGTTTTGTAGGTTTCAAAAATTCTAAGAGATGAGGTTGTTATTTTCTCCACCGTGTTAGATGATGGTGTTATTAGTAAACACGTCTTGATTAAATAAAACAAATGAGGATTTTGTATTGAACAAAACAATTGTAAGTATAATGATTTTAGGGAGCAACAAAAAGTTTAATTTCATTCGTATAACAGATTTAAGAAGAAAAAAAGAGTTCAATTTCATGCACATAACATATTTGTGAAGCAAAAAATCAATTTCGTGGGCATAACAAATTTCAGAATAAATTATACTTTCGCCATAGGGATTAATATCGTTAAGGAAAGAATTTACATTTTCACAATATTCTACTATCAGGAATATGCCTAGGAAAGAAACTAGACCTCTACATAGATTTAATGAGGCTAAAGCATTATGAGTGGCTAAGGATAGAATTATCGTTGATGATCAGGATCATGTTTGTGAGTAAACGAGCAGAAGGCAATATGTGATAAACTAGAAAAGAATGTAAGAATGAAAACAGAAGAAAGAGGAATATGTTTATTGAAGACAATCGTATAGCAGAAAAATGGATACAGTATTCTGGAAATTACAAAATATACTTCACTTAATTATGTATAGTGGACAGACCCACTATATAAACACCTAAGGCTAACCAACTAGCCCAACTGAACGGCCCAACTGACTAGAATTCAGTTATAACAGATTAACCAAATCAGTTACAGCTAACAACAATTACATAATACTCTAATATTCTCCTAGTTTTCTTATGATATGAATTGTCACTTCAACATTTTCCTGGCTTTTTTAGACCTGCTTCACATGACTGGTACTGTTGACTTCTGTCCAAGACTTAACACCAAGACGCAAGCGCATATCACTAAACACTGCAGGTGACAATGGCTTGGTGAGTATGTCAGCCACCTGTTCTGCAGAGGGAACAAAATTTACACTGAGTTGCTCAGCCAAAACCCTTTCCCTCACAAAGTGAATATCAATTTCTACATGCTTTATTCGAGCATGATATGTCGGATTTGCTGCCATAGAAATTGCAGAGGTGTTATCACACCATACAACTGGCTTTCTAGTTACACTAATGCCAATTTCATCAAGTAACTGTTCAATCCAACTCAGAAACAGAATTAGCAAGGCTCCTATACTCTGCTTCTGATGTAGACCTAGACATAACAGTTTACTTCTTGGAGCACCATGCAATTGGATTTCCCCCAAGATATACACAGTAACATGTTGTGGATCGTCTATCTTCCACCGAGGCTGCCCAGTTTGCATCAGTGTAGCATACTAGATTAAAGTTTCCAGCTTGAGTGAAAAACATACCATGCTCAAGTGTGCCACTGAGATACCTCAATATGTGCTTTACTACTCTCCAATGTGTATCACATGGGCTATTCATGTACTGACTAACATTGTTAACAACATAGGCTATGTCAGGTATTATTAAACACACATATTGCAATCCTCACACAATGCTACGATAGAGATGAATATCTCCAAATAATTGTCCATCATTTGCCTTAAGCTTGGGCATAAGAACCATAGGAGTAGGTGTAGGTGCTGACTCATCTAGGTTTGACCTTTTCAACAAATTAGAAATATACTTCTTCTGATTTAAGATCAAGCCTTCTGAAATATGCTCAACTTGCATTCCAAGAAAAAGCTCTAGCTGACCCAAATCTTTGAGTGAGAACTCCTTATTGATTGCTTGCACTTTGGCATCCACTTCTATTTCCTGACTTCCTGTGATGACTATATCATCAACATACACCATCAAGAGCATTTGAGAACATGCTGAATTTCTAATAAATAGAGAGGAGTCAGCTTTTGAAACAGTAAAACCAAGGTTCTCAACTAAAAACTTCCTTAGGGTCTCAAACCAAGCCCTAAGAGCTTGCCTAAGCCCATAAAGTTCATTTCTTAAACAATATACTAACTCCTTTCCATCTTCACTCTTCTGTTCAAATCCTGGAGGCTGTCTCATATAAATTTCCTCAGTTAATTTTCCATTGAGGAACACATTGTTAATGTCAATCTGTCTAAGTGGCCAAATTTTCATAATAGCAACAGCCAGAACAATCCTTATTGTATTAGCTTGAACAACTGGACTGAATGTCTCTGAAAAATCTCTTCCTACCATTTGTGAATAGCCCTTGGTAACCAGACGGGCCTTCAACCTGTCAACTGACCCATCAGGCTTCTTTTTCACTTTAAAAAGTCACTTGCAACCCACTGCTTTGCGTGTTGGTGGCAAAGGCTTTAGCTCCCAAGTTTCATTCTTCATCAGAGCAGTATACTCATCATGAACTGCTTTGCACCAGTCAGGGTGCTGTAATGCTTCATGGAAATTATCTGGCTCTTGAGGGCTTGTCTCAGCAAGTAACACTTTAGGCTTAAAGATGCCAGCCCTCCCACGGGTGACCATGGATTGAACATTCTGAATTATTCCTGATAGTGGTAGTGGTGGTGGTGGTAGTGATAATGATGGTAATAATGGAAGTGATGGAGTTTCATCATGTGATGAAGAAGTGGATGGATGTGATGTAGCATTCGTGAAAGGATGAGATGAGGATGAGATTGAAGGTTGCAATGGAGAGATATCATGTGGTGATGAAACGAATTGATGTGATGATGTCGATAGTGATAGAGATGGTAGATTTGAAGGATGAGATGATAATATAGGAGATGGCAGTTCTGTCCCTTGCTGTGGTAATGTAGAAGATGGTAGAACTGTCTTGTGACTGTGTGTGTTAGTAGAAGAAAGAAATGAAGGAAAGAACAAACTGTTTTGAGAACTAATGTTTTTAGCAATGGATTGTTTTTGATCTGTTCTAGTAGGGTTGTACACCTTTGGCAAAGTGGGAATGCTAGAATGATTTAGGAGCTATTGATAAGGAAACTCATTTTCTTCAAAACGAACATGTCTTGACACATAGACTCGACCAATAGAATCTAAGCATTTGCATCCCTTGTGAGCATGGGAGTATCCCAAGAATACACAGGTAGAGTATCTAAATTGAAGTTTATATTGATTGTAAGGTCTTAAAAATGGGTAACACAGACAACCAAAAACCCTCAGAAAATTATAATCTGGTGTTTTATGAAAAATCTTTTCATATGGTGAAATGCCAGCCAATGCCCGTGTAGGTAACCGATTAACAAGAAATACTACACTAGAGAAAGTAACATTCTAGAAACTTAAAGGCATTGAAGCTTGAGCTAACATAGAAAGACCTACCTCAACTATTTGTCGATGCTTTCTTTCTACCAAGCCATTCTGTTCTGAAGTGTGAGGGCATGATAGCCTGTGCACAACGCCTTTCTCCTCCATGTAGGCTTGAAGAACACCAAACTCACCCCTCCATCTGATTGGAACACTTTGAGCTTGACACCAAACTGCCTTTCTACTTGTTTATGAAATTGAGGAAAAACAGACTTGACCTCAGGCTTTTGTTTTAAAAATAAATTCAAGTATACCTACTATGAGCATCAGTGAAAGCAACATAGTACCTAAACCCATTAGAGTACACATGAGCAGGGCCCCATACATCAGATACAACAAACTCTAAGGGCTATGTATAATAAGTGTGTGAATCAACAAATGACAATTTATGTGACTTAGCAAGTTGACAAGCTTTACACAACATTTTTTCTTTATTAGCATCAAAGGGAATACCATTGTAGTGTTTTAGAGCAGAAAGTAAAACCTCTTTAGAGGGGTGGCCAAGCCTTTTATGCCATATATCCATAGACACTCTAGTATTAACAATATGACAACTTATTGAAGATAAAAAATTATGAGCACAATTATTACAAGAAGAATTAATACAAGCAGAATTATCAATACAAGCATAATTAATACGAGCAAAATTATTACAAGCATAATTAATACGAAGCATAATTATTACAAGCAGAATTGAAATGAGCAGAATTAATACTAGCAGAATTATTACAAGCAGAATTGAAACGAGCAGAATTATCAATACAAGCAGAATTAATACGATCAGAATTATTAATACGCAGACAGATGTCATTTTCAACAGACTTATTCATAGCGACATTAAATTTGTACAGTCCTCCATCTTCACTCCCTTTTAACAGAATTTTTCCAGTGCGCAGGTCTCGAACTTGGCAGAAATTAGGATACAATTCAAGCAGAACCTGATTGTCCTGAGTGAATTTGGAAACATATAACATATTTTTAGTGATATTAGGAACATACAGTAATTTATTTAAATGAAACCTATTGGAATTAGCAAAAAAGAAAGAGTGACTACTGCTCTGTATTGGTAAACAATTACCATTACCAACAATCACACTACCTGTTCCAGGGTGAGTGTCTTTAATCTGTAAATTGTTAAGGTCTTTAGTTATATGATGTGTTGCTCCAGAATCTGGATACCAAGCATTATCATCTATAGTTTCAGGTGTAACTATGTAAGCTTGAGATGGAACCTGAGATTGAGTAGAAGCTATGGACTGTGATGGATGCCCAGAAGGATATAAGGACATATTGTAAGGAGGTGGGCAGACCTGATGATGAAAATTAAAGGGAAAAGCCTGTGGACGAAAAACATGACCTTGAGGGGTT